ATATAGGACCTGATTGACAATTCCTTAAAGATATAAGATAAATCTTGCAAATAATTTCATTAAGGGCAATATAGTACTTTTAGTAAGAAAGGCTATTGTGAAAAATTGGAAGAATATTATAGCTATTTCTAAAGTTATCCCGCCCTTAGGCCCTTTAATTAAAGGGCTACTCCTAGTCAGCCATTAGCCTTCATTTTATTTTATTTTATTTTTCTAATTTGAAAACAGAGTTTTAAAGTAAAAAATCACTAACCTATTTTGTTTAAACCCTTCTACGATTAAAATTGTATGCAATGTAAAAAAATAGAACCATGCAATCATTTTACCTTTTTCAAAAATAATTTTAAAATGTCAAGGCCGTCCTCTATATGTGACCCTAAATAGGTCTGGGCATGATTTTGGTTCGGTTAGTTGGTTTAAACTTTTAGTTCAAATTGGATTTAAAAAAAAAAAAAAATTGTTCGAGTTTGGGGTTCACTTAGATTACAATAACTAAATAATTTTTTATTATGAGAACTATTGACTAACGAATAAAATTAAGTTAATACAGACGGATCAATAGAAAATTCAAGAATTTCGTTGCTTTTATACATTTTGTAGTCTGACCGTCCGAATAGAAAAATGACTAAGCATAATATAATGAGTTTGTAAAATGAAATTTTCAGTATTATTACTTACTGGCAATATCATAAATTAAAATGAATCGAAATATGGTTACGAGATTTTGATTTTTTTTTAAGTTTTCTTTAAAAAAAGGTAAACATGTGAGTGGGGTGGATTTAACCGACTTACCTTGGTTTTATCTAAAAGAATATCAAATCAAACCAATTACCGACCCAAACTAGTCTGAGTCGGGTCGATTTGATTGATTTTGTCAAATTTTCAATTTTTTGTCCATGCCTAACCCTAAGTATGAATATGTGGGCCAACGAGCTTTCAACTCTAGTATGGGACAGGCTGTGAAAATAAAAGGGAAAAGTTCAAAAATCAAGTGTCAAGTATGACACAATTTTCAATTTTCAGGTGTCAAGTTTAAAATTGCAGAACTCAGGTATTGACTAATTAATTAAATATGTTTATTATTTAAATATAATAAGATCACAGTTACACAATTAATGGTCACAGATACACAATTATAGGTCACAAATGATTTTATTAGTCACATATTATCAAATTAATTTGTTACATATTATGTCGAGGTCACAAATAAAAAATTCTATAGGTTACAGATTGTTTCGTTGTTCACAAATAAAAAAATTATAGATCATAATTTATCTATTGATCACATATTTACAAAATTATTGGTCACAAATTATTTTAGTCACATATTATCGAATTTTAAGGTAACGGTTGAATACTCACAATTTTTATGGTCACAGTTTATCCCACCCTGTTCCGTCGTGACACCACGCACCACTACCCATAGATCCGCCACAACCACTTGTAACCACTCTCGCCCTGTGACCGTCCCCAACTCCACCACCTGTACCACCACCATCATTGCGAGCATCATGTTCTAACAACCACCCACGTCACTACTATCACCACCACCAACCACCCATTGCACCCAACCAGATCCGTAGCGCCCATGGAGAAACGTCATCGGTGCCAACACCACGCCATCATCGCGCGTGAACACCCACGCGCACGCACGCACACACACAACCGCAACCATGTCATCGTCGTTGCGATCTGCGGCACAGCCACGAAACCCAACCACGATCGCAGCCTCACACCATCACCATCGCGATCTGCAACGCAACCACGCACACTGTGCCACTGCTGCCATCAGCCTCCGATTCCGCCGACATCGAGGACGCTGCAACGAACTCTCAACAGCCTCCGATTCTAGTAGCGTTGGTAGAAGCAGCTTCTTCATCACCGAATTTTGCCTCAAATTTTACACTGAGAGACGAGAGAGGAAGGACTGATTTTAGAGAGAGAAAATAATGGAGAGTTAGGGTCTGGGTGAAAGGAATATTGATTTAAGGTTTATATTTATTGATACTTGATTTATGAATAATGAAAGTTTGCACTTGAATTTTGAATTGTATTATTTATATCCCTGCTTTTGTGTAATTTCCTCAAAATAAAAAAATGTACCCTAAGGCCTATTAAGGGCCCGTTTGATGCCCATTATGTCAAAAATTAAAGAGTTTTGAATAGTATTTTTAAAGAATGTATGGTTAAAAAATAAGAAAACTTTATTAATTTAAAAGAGAGAGTTGAAGAGCCAATAACTTGTCTCTTGCAATTGCCCAAAGGATCATCACTCATCGGCCCATTTATATTTATAAAAGGACCCATTTCTGCGACTATATATAAAACCCATTAACTTCTCTCCTCTCTTTGCCTCTTCTCGATTACATTCAAAGATACTTACCCAATCGTTTATTTTGAAGCTATATTTGATCCGATCATGGCTCACTGCATTTTTTTACAGGTCAATTTATTCTCTTGTATGTTAAATTTATGTTTGTTTCTTTTTAGATTTCATGAGCTGAAGTGGGTTTAATGAAACTAAAATTTGAATTTTGTTGCAGGTCCCAGTTAGGGTCCCTATCAGCAGTGATTCATCTGTCCGGAGACCCGTGTTTAAGGTTCTTAATTAGTCTTTAGCTATAGATAAATTTATATTATTTTGCATGTCAAATCTCATAACTTTTGTTTGCTCAAATGATTCAGATGTGATCGGATATTGATCTGCAACTGATATAATGTTGATGTAGTACCTTGTACTATAAAGCTTGTACCTAGCTGACGTAGGATAAACACGGCTGTTCTGCCATTTGTTTTATTTGTGCTTGATTATGTCTGAAGTCGAATCTCTTTAAAGGGTTTCCAGCAGAGATCTCCAATTGCTACAATTTGTCCATTCTATTAAAATCTCTCGTGGTGTGTTCAGTTGGGACTCTTAACAACTCCTATAGACTTTATTAAATTATTCACTTTTTGTGGATTTTATGGACTTTTAATAGATTTTTATGGATTTGTTAAGAATTGAGTTTTCCATGAACTTCTGTAAACTTTGATTAAAGATTTTAAAACACTTTTCATCTTATAAATTCATTATATACCTGGAAAATTACAGTCTTTCTTATTACATAATTAACATTTTCGATAACCATGATGCCCACAAAAATTTCTTGGATAAAGTCACTATTCACGGTCTAATCATTCAATTTTGGCACAAATAAAATAATAAGAAAACTTTTACACAAATTTCTAATAACATAACCAAATTTTTTCATGAAATTAACATAATTTTTAAGAACACAAATTGTTCTTAACAAAGAAAAAAAGAATAGATCTATTACATAAAAATCTACTTTCTGAAACAATTGCATATAATTTCAATTCAATAGTAATTATGTACATATAGAATAATCTTATTGATTACGGCAAATGAATTGAAAAGATATGAGAAAATCTTAGAGTTGAAAGAAAAAAGACGTTTTTTTTTTTGGACTCTAATATCTTCACAAATTGAGATTCACTATTTATATTTTTTTACCAAAAAGACTTCTAAAAAGTTTCAATTGAATATATCGTAACTTTTAGAGACTTTTTAGAAGCCTATAGAAGTCCCAATTGAATACATTTAAACTTTTTAAATCCTCGAAAGTCTTTAAAAGTCTCAAATGAATACGCCCCCTTTATGGTCTTGTTAATAACTGTTTAATGGATATACAGATTAAGGCTTCCATGACAGCATGGTTGGCTAAGCTTAAAAGGTGCTTAAAATCACCTATTTTTGATAGTATGCTTCATTTTTTCCCATTCTTTTTCATTTATACTGCACTTTCATACATTTTCTGCTATCAGACATTTCATACAATGGAAGCTGTTTATTGATCAGATAAACACGTCCTTCACTTTGTTCATCCTTTCATATTGCATACCTAGTTTGTATTAGATGAAAACCCTATTTTGTACTGTCCACCCAATTTCTTGAATTTTTTTGATGACCATTATTCTACAGCAACTGCACTGGCCTTTTTTGCTGCTCTTGAAATTATTCTATTGGTATTATTCGGAACAAATATTCTAGGTCCTATTAATCTTCAAAGAACTTTTGTTGCCCATTCAACTTTGACATAAGAACTGCACATTGTTTCAATTATTAAACATGCATTCGATATAATGCCAATCTTGGTTATGCATATAGAAATCACGACTTTAGAGGAAAATTGCATTAATTGAGTCCATTTGTGCTTGATGAAACCATAAAAAAATATTTAGATTCTTGAACCTCATTGCCTCTTTCTTTTCCTTATCTGAAACATAACTTGGATCTTCTTTTGCATCTTCATTATCACCTCCTGTCCAGCTTTCTCCATGGTTTTCACTGAAACCCTGATGTTTAGGTACCAATAATCTTTCATTGTTTTGGTTGTATACTGCTCATTACAATATTGGGACCTGCAAAGATTAGAAAACTATAGTTATAAACACTAATTGCATCTCATTTTATTGCAGACAAATAATGTGACTTTTCATGATAAATCGTGGACTTCTGGCAAACCTTTTAACTTGAGAAGTGAAAATGCACGATCGAGAAGTCGATTTGTGGTTTGCATGTCTGTACAGCAAGCCAGTAAACCTAAGGTTGCTGTTTCACCTGTAACACTAGAAGATGCGAAAGAGCATCCACTACACTTATACAAAAACAAGGAACCATATACAGCAACCATCGTCTCTGTTGAAAGGCTTGTTGGTCCAATGGCTCCTGGAGAGACATGTCATATTGTCATCGATCACGGTGGCAATGTTCCTTATTGGGAAGGACAAAGTTATGGGGTCATTCCTCCTGTAAGTTCAAAGAATTTCCATTTGCTTGTAATTTAATCATGAAGTTTCTGTGAACTTCAAAGTTCCAGTTAAAATTTCCCATTTCATCCAACCTATTCCTTTGAGAAACTCTTGGGGTTAACTAAAGCTAGAATATGATGGAACCTTATTGTACAATATTTGCACTTAGCTGTAATGTGGTTTGGCGTTGTTCTTGGCATACCCATCTCAGATCATTATGCAGTATGTTCTCTGACGTCACCATGTCCTAAATTTACTTCATCTATTTTATTTCAGGGTGAAAACCCTAAAAAGCCTGGTAGTCCACAGAATGTTCGTCTATATTCAATTGCATCTTCCAGGTACGGTGACAATTTTGATGGTAAGACTGCAAGTTTGTGTGTTCGACGCGCTCTCTATTATGATCCCGAGACAGGAAAAGAAGACCCCTCAAGAAAAGGAGTATGCAGCAACTTTTTATGTGATTCAAAGCCTGGAGACAAAATTCAGCTCACAGGTAAGATTTTAATGATTCTGGTGAAGGCATTAAGGAATTAGGATATTTGATTTCACGAGTTTTTGTGCAATGAAGTTGTATAAGGATCAATAGCCATCTCCCTTGATATGAGATTAGCCAATGTTTTTGGGAACCTAGTTATTTTTATGTTTGATAATTTTGTTTCACTAAAACATTTTTTTTTTTCCAAGCAGGAGGTCTGAGCTCGTTGATATGCTCTATACTTTGATTCGTATTTTCCATGTACCATCAAACTGTTAACACGACCAAGTTCGGTTATTAATTGTGAATCAGTAATAAATTCAGATATATGTTGCTGAAGTTTTTCTTTCTTTGCGCATTTGATGCATGGAAGGCAAATGTTTTAATAAATATAATTGGCTTCCATCTTACCCCAAATCTATTCTCATATCTGATTTTTGAAACTTGAAATAAAGTGTAATTACCCCATACATATCCATTGTGTCCTAAAGAATTTCATATTAACTTGTACTGAGCTGAGTGGTTACTTTGTTTCTTTCCATCTTTAGTTTAGTTCACTTCCATTTTTGTCTTGTAATCTGTAATCACAGCGTTGGGAATGATCTAGTTGAGTTGACTATTTTGGTTTCTCTTACTTTTTTATGGGGTTCTCGTCTCTGTGTTGTTAACATTGCGTGACTTCGGCAGGGCCTTCTGGCAAGATAATGCTTCTGCCTGAGGATGATCCAAATGCCACCCACATTATGATTGCCACTGGTACTGGTGTGGCTCCCTACAGAGGCTATCTTCGCCGAATGTTCTTGGAGGACGTTCCCACGTTCAAATTTGGGGGTCTCGCTTGGCTTTTCCTTGGGGTTGCTAATAGTGACAGCCTTCTTTACGATGACGAGTTCTCCAAGTATCTTCAGGACTACCCTGATCAGTTCCGATACGACCGTGCCCTTAGTCGAGAACAGAGGAACAAAAGTGGAGGCAAGATGTATGTTCAGGATAAGATTGAAGAGTACAGTGACGAGATCTTTAAACTTCTTGATGGTGGAGCACACATTTATTTCTGTGGGCTTAAAGGGATGATGCCGGGAATTCAGGATACTCTCAAGAGGGTTGCAGAGGAGAGAGGGGAGAGCTGGGACGAGAGACTCTCTCAACTGAAAAAGAATAAACAGTGGCACGTTGAAGTCTATTGATGCTGCTCAAGTTGTAGCTGATTGTTACTCAATATATCATGGGAAAGGAGGATTCTTCTTGCTACATGATGTTAGTATTTCTTTATTAACTTGAGAGGCCCATGTGAAGTTGAACTTCACTAGCACTTCTATATTTATGTCATCATGTGTACATTAGTGGATGAAGAAAACTTGTTTTGTGCTTCGAATTGAATGCTCAAGAAATCTCTTGATAATTTCTTGACAAAATTCTGAACTCTGGATCTTTTGTTTCTGCAAATTGCATATACATATTTGATTGTCTGAATAAATGTTAGAATTTAGAAACTTTTTTGGTCATTGGCTAAATTTCAAGTTCATTACCAAGAAACTGAGTGGCCGCCTTGGGTGAGAGAATGAAAAGTGACATTGCTAAAATAATGTTGTGCAAAATATGTAGAGATCGATTTTGATTAACACAAATAATTATTTATTTCAGAGCGGTCTTATTTACTTAATTTAAGCTTAACCGAACGTGCACCAAGTCCTCATTCAACAAGTCAAGAACTGTAATACTCTTATTTGCTACTATTGGAGCAATTGTAACCGAAGACACCAAGTCTTTTGCTGAACGGATAGGATCAACATGATTCTGGGATATCCAAGTTTGAATTTTAAACATTTCACAATCCCACACGTCTCTATAATTAGTTACAACAAATCTTGTAATCAGTTAGAATGTGTATTATTTAAAGTTGGAGTCTGTATGTATATTTTTTAAGGGCAATGAAATAAACCTTCACTTTCATCCACTGTCAGATTTTACATGGTATCAGACGCTTCATTGACCAACGTCCAACCTTTCATTGCTCCTCTCTACATCACAAAACAATGTCTGCATCTCCCTCCCGATTCCTCTACCTCCGATGCTCAAGCAAACCATCTCCCTACTTACAACCCCCCTCCTCCATCAATGTCACAAAACTCAACCACCAAAACTACCTAAAGGCCACCATGCTTTCGTATCTAAAAGGCCAAAAGGTTTTTGGGTATGTCGACGGAACTCTAAAGTCACCACCGAAGGAGCTCATTGCTGCCGATGGCACTAAGTCTCCTAATCTTTTGTTCGGCACTTGGGGAATGCAGGATAACTTGATCCTAAGTTGCTTGAATGCCTCACTCACTGATGAGGTCCTTACACAGGTTGCTCACTATGATACTTATAATGCCGTATGGATGGCCCTTGCCCTTGCCTTTGCCTTTGCTTACCAGTCTCGGGCTCAAGCAATTCAGGTGAGATCTCAACTATTCAATACTCGCAAGACCACTCAATCCGCTAGCGAGTACTTCATGCAGATCAAACGCATGACTGATGCTCTTGCAATAGCTGGTCAACCCATGAAATGTGACGAGATCATTACTTATCTTCTCTCTCGCCTGGGGCCTGAGTATGACTCACTAGTCACCACAATCTCATCTTAAGACGTCCCTCTTTCCTTAGAGGATAGATACTCCATGTTGCTCACCTGTGAGGCTCGCGTTCAACATCACTCCTACTCCGTGCCTATAGCTAATGCTTCAACAAATGTTGCCACGAAGCCACCAATTTTCTCTGGTTCTTGCAGCCGTGGCAATTCATCCAACTCCCGGGGCAAGGGGCGTGTTTCTGGCTGAGGTAATAACGTTTCCCGTTCTCCGTTAATTTCTAATTTGTGGTGCCAAATATGTGACAAAGTAGGACACGCGGCCTCGAGGTGCTTCAAGCGCTATGATCCTAACTTTAACCCACCACCATTCAGACCACATGCTCAAGCCAAATTCTCCACTACTCAAACTCAACACCCAACTGATCAACAGTGGCTTGCTGATACTGGAGCAACACACCATCTAACAAACAATCTTGGCAACCTCAGCATTCGTGGTGATGACTGATTAGTGCGTTTTTACACACTTATTAGATCACGAAACATGACTAATTGTTGATAAAAGCGTTTGAATTATGGCTTAATTCTATATAATTATGTTTTGTAGGACTATATTGATGAATGTGGCGAAATTCAAGAGAAAAGAAACGAAAAAGGATCAAAAAGGAAAAAAATTCAAAGTACGAGGACTAAATTACAACAATTCAATAGTTGATTCGGACCACAAAATGAAGACTAAAGTTGTTGCAGGTTCAATTGGATACAATTAATAGTCAATGGGTTGAAAATGCAAGAGAAAGGACTTGAAAGAATCAAGAATCGACTTCGAAGGCTAAAATGCAACATTTGGGAATTTTTTATAACTGAGCGATAGCCCAGTTAGTTTGAGTGGGCGACTGCCCAATATCAAAAATTAATTACCGAGAAGAAAAGTTGGCCTGGGCGATTGCCCGGGTTTTGCCTGGACGACAGCCTAGGCCAATCGTGGCGAAAAGTTTTTGATTTCCTATTCTGACTGAAATTCTCATGGAAACAAATCTTTTGAGGTATTTTACGATCCTAGGGTAGAATGTAACCATACACCACGCATTATAACATATTCATAAGGGTTTTTTAGAGAGAAGAACAAGGCAAGAATGAGAAGATTGACATCAAGACGCAAGAATTCAATTCAAGTTTTAAAGCGATGATGTCTTTTTTTAACGATTTAGTTTGTTTTCTTCTTCCCATCATGCTAGGCTATATTTTTATGTACTAGGAGATTGATATACCATGTGATGTGATTTTTAAATTTCTAGTTTGCAATTTGATATTAAACACATATTTGAATGTTTGAATGATTTATATACATTAATTTTCTTCCATAATTAAGTGCACGTAATTATGTGATGTTTGGTGGTGTATTTCATCTGTTCGAGAGAAGAGAAATAAATTTGACAATGTATAAATCATCGTAGAGTTCGATAGGGGATAGAGATATACTCCTATACTTTGCGTGAATCATTAAATATTCATAAAACTACATGCATTCTTATATATGCATTTGTTATAGAGATATAGGCCAGTGGTGTATAAGAATATGTTCAATACATATTGAGAGAGAGTGTGGGATAGATTTAGGAGCATTGATTCGTCAACAATTCAACCGCATTGTCATTTTGTGAAATTAGGGTTTATGGTGATTATTGCATGGTAATTCGTGATCCTAGTGCGTTTAATTTTCATTGAATACAATAAATTTGCGTTCTAAACAATTGATTTAAATTTAAATTCGTTAAAACATCGTTTTGCATATTGAGTTCATTCCAATCATTAATTTTGTATAATTAGGATTTTCTTTCCAAATTAGGGTTTCGTTTAGGTAAAAATTTCACTTTGGGTAATTTAGTTTCTGTCAAGGCTACGATAAATAAGATTAAACTAATCAATCTCTGTAGGACGATATTCGGACTCAATTGATCCACTGTATTACTTGTCGTGAACTGTACACTTGCGAATACAAATCAAAAGAATGATTTCGTGGACAATGACTATGGTGGTACTGATCAAATTCAAGTTGGGGATGGATTAGGTTTGAATATAACTCACACTGGTATTGCTTCTTTATCCACATCTTCTAATTCTTTTATTCTTGACCAAATTCTTGTTGTTCCAAAAATCCAAGATAATTTATTATCTGTTCAAAAATTCACTCAGGATAATAATGTTTATTTTGAGTTTTATGAGACTTTCTTTCTGATTAAGGATTACTCGGGGAGTATCCTGTATAAGGGTCATAGCAAAGATGGCCTCTACTGTTTTTCGCAACCTCTCCAACACGCCGTTCATTCTGCTTTTTTTGGCGTTCAAGTTTCCATTTTAGATTGGCATCGTCGCTTAGGGCATGCATCTTTTCGTACTGTTAGCCTTGTGTTGAATGCAAATAAAATTCTTGCTGGAACAAATAAAGAACAGCCTGTTTGTCCTGAATGTGAGATGGCCAAAAGCCATAATTTACCTTTTTTCAATTCCATTAGTCATTCTAGACAGCTTTTAAAGCTAATTTATTCAGATGTATGGGGACCAAGTTCTGTAATTTCTAGTTATGGATCTAGATATTATGTTTGTTTTTTAGATGACTGCTAAATTTATTTGGTTTTTTCCTTTGAAGCAAAAATCCGATGTTGAAACAATTTTTATGCAATTTCAAAATTATGTTGAGCGCCATTTCAATACAAAAATTAAAGCTATTCAATATGATTGGAGGGGTAAATATAGATGTTTAAATAATTATTTTCAAACATGTGGAATTCAACATCGAATTGCTTGCCCTTATACGCATGAACAAATGGGAGCTGTTGAAAGACGACACCGTCAAATAGTTGAAATGGAACTATCTTTATTAGTTCACTCTCGTTTTCCACAATCATATTGGGAAGATGCCTTTCAAACAACTACTTATATTATAAATCGCTTGCCTACAAAAATCTTACAAAATAAATCTCCTTTTGAAAAGGCTTATAACAAAATTCCAAACTATGATTTCATGGGCATTTTTGGATGTGCCTGCTGGCCTAATCTTCATCCTTATAACAGACATAAAATTGATTTTCGATCCAAAACATGCATCTTTATTGGCTACCGTCTCTCACATCAGGGCTACAAGTGTCTAAATTTATCCACAAGGAAATTTTTTGTCTCTCGGCATGTTGTTTTTGATGAGTCGTATTTTCCATACCAAACTTTCGAAAACTCAAATGTCTCCCATCAAACATCCACTACATCACTCCCTTTTAATTTACATCCTACACAAACATGCACACTAACTCTTCCTATAGGTGATACTTTATATTCAACTGGTCCACTCCAAAATGAATCTAATTAGCACTTATCAAGACAAGTCACAAAAATGAGTCCACGGATGGTGTGTTTATTCCGGCACCAACAACTACTAGCGATACAGTTAGTATTGTCAACCAACACTCTAGTCTGCCTATTGCCAATCTCTCCAGATGAATGATAACTGGATCACAGACAAACAACCTGAAGCTTAAAACTCCATTCGTGGGCTTTGTTAAATATCCACTGACATAGGTTTGTCTTGTTGAATATGGCTCATCAGCATCTGAGCCATCCTCCTTCACGGAGGTCTCAAAACATGCTAGATGGCCTGATGCTATGAACGTCGAATTCAATGCATTGATCAGGAATGGAACTTGGGAATTGGTTCCACCAAAGCCCAACATTAATCTTGCGGGGATAAAATGGGTATATCGGATTAAAACTCATGCTGATGGTAGTATCGAACGCTTCAAAGCAAGACTTGTTGCAAAATGCTATCATCAATAAGCGAGTGTTGATTAACTTTCAGCCCA